CTTATCACAGAAAAGAGGCGCAGGTTGGATACAATCGCTCGCGGAGACTTGCGACTGAATTCAACGAAACTGGAGCCGAATGACGAGAAGCTGGTATCACGACATTTGATCCATCCTTCTCATTGAAGGGGCTCAAAGGGGGCCTATATGAGTACATGACGTTTATAATTCGCTTGGTCTCGCATTGTACTACGAAACTCGTTCTTGTATTTTAAGTGAGATTAAGTGGAGCTCAAGTTCATCTTCGGACATTGTTTCCCTTTGATCTACGTTGTAAAAATTATGCCGAGCGTCGAAGCACTTCCTCCGGCAGGGGAGCCACGGCATACTGCGGGAGCTCCTAGGGGGTCCACGGCCGAAAAAAATTTGGGAACCACTGGTTTTGATCATCGGCGTTCCTCAGTCCAAAATTAGGGTATTAGAAGCCTCTCTCAAATGGAAGCCCCTCTCCAATATAAGCCCTCCCCGAGAGGCTCTCGAAAAAACTAGACGCCCGGGCTTGTATTGGGTATTTTACGGTATCTTAGTTTCGGAGAACGCTGGGAAAGATACGAAGGTCGACGTCAGGCAAGCAATGAAAATGCTCTCGAGCGCATGGTCTGAGATCATCCCGACAACAATCAGACGGCGTTGGGAGAAGAGTTGTGTTTTCAGATCAGGCCTGCCGATTTCTGATGTGATGAGCGATGACCATTCAGATGAAGATTATGATCCGACAGACCTCTGGCAGTTCAATACACAGCGCCTCGGAATCGATCAGAACGTAAATTTTGACGACTATGTAAGAGCAGATGACGACGTTCATGTTTGCGAGGAGCTCTCGGACGCTTGCATTTTGAAACCGTTCTAGGAGGTTCCTGGAGCCGCGATTTGTGACTCCAAAGAGAGTGACGAAGATCCTGACGGAGGAATCCAAGAAGAGAATGTGTCGATTGGCGCAATGTTAGAGTCAATAAGCAAGCTGAAGCGGTTCGTGTTCTCTCATGATAACGTGCCAGATGATATTTTTAAAAGCATCTCAGGTATTGAAAAATTTGTCTTAACTAGTCAGACTAGGAAAATGGTGCAGACAAAGCTTACGGATTTCATCGTAACTTAACACCCGAATAAAATTGTTGTGGTCTCTTACTTGCCGGAGAGCGCTAGCGCTCAAGTTTTCATTATTCACGTCAATTCTCGCAGAAGAAACGATGCAGCAACTTTGAGCACTTTTTCTGTCGTGCCCGATGGAACGAAAATTCGATACAACGAACAAAGTTCGCCGGTCCCCAGCTGTTCGTTATAACGAGCTTTTGCTGTAGACGTTAGAGTCTTTCCTTCCGAGGCGAGGAGTTTGAGACGTTAACCTCGCCCTCTTGAGCACATAATTCAGGTTTTCCCCACCTGTTAGCCCCCTGTCCAGCACGACTCCAAAGTACTTCGCCTCCCCCACAATCTTGATTCTGACTCCCCCCCTCAGGCTGAGCCTGATCCCCCTCACCCTTTCCCTCCCCGTCAGATACACCGCCTCGGTCTAACGCGGAGCCAACTCAAGGTTGACCCGCTTCATCCACGCCTGGATTCCGCCCAGGGCGATATTCGCCAACCTCTCCAGTTACCCCTCGGTCCGAGCCGTGAACATGCGCGCGAGATTATCCGCGTCAGCGAGCAAAACCGCGCCTCACGGCATTTCCAGCCTCAAGAACACGTCTCATGCAAGATTCCACAAAGTTGGACCCAGAATGGAGCCCTTTGGAACCCCCGCCGAAACTCCGTTTTGATTCCCCGATTCCCGAGACATGACGAAATGAGCCTCAGGAGGCACCCCGAAACTCCCCGATCCCCCAAAGCCTGCAAAATTTGTCCCCATTCCAGCGAGCAGCAGCTTATCCACCTCGGGGCTGTATGGGGCTATAGCCCCCGTGCCCCCAGGAAATGTTTCTTCACGGTAGAGTATAGGAGCGGGTCGCCATTCTGGATTCGTAGCCCCATACAGATCAGAAATCGCCCCTCCCCCCCGAAAAATTCTGGGTAAGCCCCTGCCAGCGAGTTGAAGGCGTTCCTCACGTCGGGAAGAAGCGACCCGACGAAGCCCCCGTTCTCCAAACTCTTTCCCCGTTACTCCTGCCCTTTCTCCAGACCCCACTCAACCGCATCCACTGCTGAAAAACCCTTCCTGAACCCGTACTGCTTTCCCGACAATGCCCCCAGTCCCTCGACTTACCCATGAACCCTCTCCACTATGACCTCCTCGAACAACTTCCCCATGGTGTTGAGCAGGCAAATCGGCCTGAACCCTCCACCCCCCCCTTGGCAGTAAAACCAACTTCAAGGCTCCGGAGTTCCCCCTCCCTCATGAGTCTCCCGATTATATCCCTCACAAGCATTGGCCATCTTTCGGCAATCTTGCCGCCCTATACGTCGCTAAATGCGCCGCATAGGTCGCCCTCCCTTCTTCCCCCTATTTGCCCGTCCTAACCAGCTTGCCGTCCTACTGGCGGTCCTCTGTGAGCGGATACACCGTTAGCGCAGAGCCGCAACTTCCTCGTTCCACCAGTAGTTCGGCCGCTTCCCTGCCGTATACCGCGTCCTAGAGCCCCCTTCCCGCAGGCCCTGGATAGGATGTCCTCCATTTCCCCCGCGCTAAGCTCCCCCCCCACTCCGGCCCCTGCAACGCTAATCGACGCAAGCCCTAACCCGCCCGAAGTCCACCTTCGCGGGATCCCATCTCCCCTCCTGAGCTCTCAGCCCGCCGCCCCGCTTCCCCTGACTCCGAAGGCGATGTACCTTGTCACATGTACGATGTCACTCCTGCTCCAAGGGGACCCCCGCACTGGTGGTTTCCAACAGTCCCCTCTCATCCACCACGGTCAAGTCGATGGAAGACTGTCCCCTGGGTCCAGAGAAAGTAGGCACCTGGTCATCGTTGACGACGATTAGGTCGTATTAGGCCAGCCAGTACCCCAAAAACCTGCCCCTCCCGTAGGTCGCCCCGCCGCCCCAATCGGAGCTCTTCGAATTGAAGTCTCCGGTGACGAAGATTCCCCTACCCTCCCTGAGTCGAAGGCTCTCCCCGAGTTCCCGCAGAAAATCCCTGAACCCCTCTTATTGGACGTTCGGTGATATGTAGCAGGAGTAGAATACTCCCGCGCCATCCACATCAATCCAGGTGTACCCATTGTCCCGACCACTCTCCCGCATTTTCCCCGACCCCGCTATCTAAGTGGCCATGTCCCCCACCTTGACGACTACTCAGTGGGCCCTGGCTCGGGCGTAGGGAAGAGTGCCCTAATATGGGATACTATTTATTTTCTCGTTCGTGAGAAGAGGCCGATGGTGATATTTGAACTTTCGGCGGTCATATCGAATCCACGATTGTTCGCCTTACGAATGGCGAAGAACTCAACCGGATATTCCGTATCCTCCATGGGGAAGAGAAGCTTCGCTAGATTCACCCGGAAACCGCCAATAAAAAAAAGGGTCTTGACATGGGACACTAGGGGATCCTAGTACCTTCATTTCTACTTCTCGAGTCTAGGACGATGACCTGCTCTGTCCCTGGTACTCCCACGAGGCTTCTATCAAGGAGCTCGGGAGATTGAGATCTTCGAAAAAGATAATTTTGCTTGTGAGACTCCTGAATATGAGGAGGGATCGTTTGAAAAATTGAAGGGGAAACCTCCCATCCATGCGGGTTGCCTGAAACGAACCCGCAATCGTGTGCTCTGTACCTCTGTCCTCGAGCTACATGATACCTACGGCGACGCCGACGCGTGGTCAAGCGGCCAGCGCGTCTGTCGCTTCCCGCGCGTAGGTGCTTCCAAGCGGTGAAATGCCGTGAGTGCGCCTCGAGGCCGGAGTTCGATCCCTGCCGGGGGCAAAACATTCCTGACGGGATTTCTGTTCGGAAGAGCAAGTGTTCGTTCTCGATCCTCCTGGGAGCATTTGCTCTCAGGTCCGTCCTCAGCAAGATAAAAAGTACCCCGTACTCTGAACCTTGTCTGTGTGGTACAGCTCGGGAAACTACGAACTCCGACGCTTCTTGGCGCGCTTTCTCGGAGCCTTGTCTGACAGTAGTCGCATCGGCGTCGTCTGCTTCAACCCTTTAAACTTGCACCCGGCTCCTCTTGACGTAAGACGTAAGGTTGTGGTTCTCTCGAGCGCCAGGATGAGGTACCAGGAACGCCAAGGATGGCGGGAAGCATTGTGTTGAGAAAATTCTGGAATCCGAAAGCTATGCTGAGAACAGCAACAGTGTAGTGTCGCTAATTAGGTACCACGATAGAGATCGATGAGTTCCACGTCCGGAGCGTCAGGCCGGAATGTTCCTGCCGGCTCCTCGTTTAGGGAGCACGCCACAAGCCCTACGTGTTTACATTGATGAATGCATTTCTGCATTTCTAGCGGGGAGAAGTCTGAGTTCAGCGGGGCTGGCGATTTGGTGACTTCACCTGTTTTGGCGAGTTATTCTGGGGTGACGACGGAATCGATCTAAAAGAGAAGATTCTTGGACCGAGTAGTAGACTGTATGATGCGGACCCGGACTCAACGCAACATGGATACCTCATCACAAGATAGCGAGATGAACTGGATAGGTGTGCACTTTTGGGCAAAACAAAGCTTCGTACAGAATACGACCGGAACTTGAGCGAATAAGATCGGAGGAGCTCATGAGAACTCATTCAAAAATGCATATAAACTCGGAATTTTTATTTTATTAATTTGTTACCGGGGCTTTACTTCAGAAAATTTAGATTAGGCCGCCATTGGAATCCGTACAAGTCGCCACGAAGGGCTTACTCGCCGATTCGTCGAGTCGCACGCCCCGCTGGATTCAGAATTCTCCCCGCTAAAAATGCGTTCATCAATGTAAACAAGTAGGGCTTGTGGCGTAGACCCCTCGTTTATTGAACATGACACTGGCGGCGCCACCGTCGCTAGACCCGTTAGACTCTAACACTACACTCCCCCTCCTTAATGGTCCCCAGCGCCGCGACATCAATTTCACACATATCCTAATCTCAAACATTAATATTGCGGAGCCAGGCGGGCATCATACGCCCAGTCCGCCGTCGCTTTCTACTCTGTCGCGGTTGGCTTGTCGCTTCCGAACTTGTACTTGATCTCATGCGTTTGCTGTAGACCACGTCTTCCATTCTCACAAGTGGGCCTGGCTCCGAGGCAACGATCGTTTCCACCTCCGAGTCCTCTGATTCCATCAGAACCAGACTTCCCTGTGTCTGCTCTTGACCTTCCTCTCTTCCGTCACCGGAGCAGCCCTCGTCAATAAGTTCGGGCGGTTTGTGTGGAAGGTCGCGCGTCGTCTCGATTCCCGTCGCTCTCGCGTCGGTCTCTGCCGCTGCCGTTGGAGATGCCAGAAAGTCGATATCGCCGAAATAGTCGGTCGATACTGTGGTGTGTTCATAGGGAGCTTTGCTATGAGCGGCCATACGATTAGCATGCCAAATCCGGTCATCCGACGTTTGGAAAGTGTCGCGTCCCATTTGGCGTGTGATCTGAACGGGGTCTGAGTACTTTTTCTGTCCTTTGGTGACCGACGGTTTCTGGATTCGGACGAAGTCACCTTCTCGTAGATTGTGTGGTCGAGCTGCTCTCCGAAGATTCGCATACCATGTCTGCTTGCTTTGGTTTTCCTCGACTTTAGCGCGGAGTGCCTGGGTTTTCTCGGAAAGGGGACGTCTAGCGAGTGGAGTCTCCCCGCTGACATCCAATCTCGTTTTGGGTGGTCTTCCGTGAAGCAACTCAGCCGGCGAAACGCCGGTCGTAGCTTGAGGTGTCGAATTGTATGAACCCAGCATCTCTATCAGGCGATCCCTGATATTACCGCCCGCCATTTTAGCCGTTGCCAACATGTGGCCTAGGGTGCGATTGAATCTCTCAATTAATCCATTCGCTCTCGGATGATAATTTGGGCTCTTGTAATGCTTGACACCATACTCCTGAAGGAATTCGTTGAACTCTCTTGATGTGAACTGTACTCCATTATCCGAGACCAACGTTTCCGGTACGCCCTCACGATTGAAGATCCGCCGCAGGAAAGAGATGACTCGACTCGTAGTAACTTCGTTAACCAGCTCCACTTCTGCCCATTTCGAGTGATAATCGATGACGGCGATAGCGAAGCGAAATTGAGATCCTAAGGTGCTATCGGGGCCCCTTATGTCAATGGCCAAACGCTGCCATGGATACTCCGGAAAATCGGTGGGGGTGATTGGAGCTGAGTTCGGTACCACTGTTTTGTCGTGCTCCGAGCAGAGCTTGCAACTTCGTATGGCTTCTTCGATGAACCGATCCATTGACGGCCACCAGTATCTTGCGCGTAATCGGTGCTTCGTCCTGACTATTCCGGGGTGAGCGTCGTCATGTGCCAGACGGAACGCTCGCAGGCGTAGTGATTCGGGTAGCGTAATGCGATCCGCTTTCAATATGACGCCGTCGACCACCGTTAGATCCGCGTGAATCGCTTGATACCTCCCAAACTTCTTCACCGGAGAATTTTTTTTAGAGCCTCCATAAGATTCGAGAGCTCGGCGTCCTCGCTTGTACGTTTGGAAATTTCCGACCATGTGAACGGCTTGAGCTTCTCGCCTAATGTGGCTATCACGAGTTCCGCGGGGTCGTGGACGGTATAGGTGATTGGAAGCGGTAGTCGTGATAACATATCAGGCACGTTATGAGAGCTCCCTCGCCGATACTCGACATTGAAACTATATGTGCGGAGCTTCTCAAGCCACCGCCCAATCCTCAGCGGCCCTCGTCCACTTCCCTTGGGCCCAAAAGTGTGCTAAAAGCCTGGTGGTCCGTCCGTAGGGTGAATCGTCTACCCCAGAGGTACACATGCCAGTGACTCAATCGCGAAGAGACAAGAAAGAGCTTCCTTCTCGCCTGTCGAGTATTTGAGCTGGGCCCCGTCAAATGAGCGAGACGCATACGCTATGGTTTTTCCCCCGATGGATGACGTTGAAGTAGCACGCAGCCCATACCGATTTCTGACGCGTCACATGCTACAATAGTTGGTAGGTTTTGATCGAAAATCGTCAGGGGACAGGC